GCAAACACACTTTTCTGTGCGGGGATCCAATTTGTTGTGTTGGTGATCATGTAAGTGTATGAGTACAACACAGCCGAAAATACGTGGCTCAAGGTTTGGGGTAGGAGATATTTGGAGATGGTGGTGAAGTGTTTGAAAAGGAGTTTAGAAATTCAAGATAATTGAGGGAATCCTATTTATGCACGAACGGTGCATGAATGACTTCCAATAAATGTACAAATAAAGATGCACAAACGACTTCCAATAAATGTCGGTTCTTTCGCTCAACCACCCCATTTTGATGGGGAGTATATGGACGCGAGCATTGATGTATGATGCCATGATCCTATAAGAATATTTTGAGATCATGATTAAGAAATTCTCCGCCATTAACAAAACAGAGAACCTGGATTTGGGCATGAAACTGAGTCGCCACTATTTTGTGGAACTGTTGAAACATTAAACTGACTTCCCCTTTGGTTTTGAGAAGGGAAACCCAGGTCATTCAGGTGCAGTCATCAATGAAAGTGACAAACCATCGAGCTCCAGCTAGAGTAGCGATTTGAGGAGGGCCCCAAACATCATAATGAATAAGGAAAAAGGGAACCAATCTTTTATTTGTACTTAATGAGAACGAAATACGATGGCTCTTAGCCAATTTACACATATCACACTGGAAGCTGGAAATATCAAAACTGAAAAATAATTATGGAAACAACTTCTTCATATAACTGAACGAGGCATGCCCAAAACGTTTATGCCATAACCAAACTTTGTCTCTCTGCATCTCAGAACTAGATCCATTTGTTGTGAAAGTTTGACCAACTTTGGTCTCACTATCTGGTGTCCAGTCCAAGTAGTAGAGTTTGCCCAACCTAATACCAGAACCAATCGTCTTCCCCGTGAAGATGTCCTAAAAAACACAATGATTCGGCCAAAATGTTACAGTACACCACATACTAATAGTAAGTTATGCAACAGACAACAAGTAATGGTCTAGGGTTTGATAAGAGGATTTGATTTGAGAGGTAAGGAATTTGATTTAGGGTTTGGGTTTGAATTTGAGGGTATGATTTGAAGGCTTAGAGAAAACCTAGGATCAATTCCTCTGATACCATGCTAAAATATGATATTTTGTTTGAATACTTTAAGTTAATTGTATTCTTCTCCATAAGGAAGTATAGATAGGAGTTTACAAGGGTGTTGTACAAGGAAATAGATACAGTAATTAATTAGAAGAATATCTCCTAATTATACAAGGATGTGTCAACTATATAAAATAAGGAGGTAAATCACCTAATTAACTTAAGAAATAAACCTCCTTGATTTAGTAGGTTAACTCACGTCAACATTTTTTACAAACCCAACAAGGCCGAGTAAGAAGAAGCTGAGTGGAGGAAGCTCTGATTTTCATTAAATGAAGAGACAGTTAAGTAAATCAATTTAAACAGAGAAAAAGCAGAGACCTGTTGAGTAATAAGAAAGGAGAGAAAAGAGTGAGAACGGCTAAAGCATTAAAGTAGACAACTGTGGGGGACTTTTTCTTCCTGCAGCTAATGGGCTGGGCTGCTGTAAAAGGGTGGACTGAGGAGACTGTCCCCTTTTGCCTGGGTTCGAAAATTAAGCCCCAAAATACCTCGAAAGGGTAGCAAAACCTTAGGAGATATTTTGGCTATCTTCACCGATCAAAATAATGGTGACTTACAGATAATTTTGGCATGCTTTCAGATAGTCTTTTAGCTCATCATGAGTGGCATGTGGCATGGGAGCAAAACCAACATAAGTTTAGCACTAAGAGAGAGGTTAGGCTTGGTTTATGAGAAAAGAAAGTATTAAGGTAAGGAATGAGGTGTTTTGTGAGGAAGTTTGACTAGGGAAAGAGGAAAAAGAAAGACAGAATTCTTCTGGCAACTGCCAGAAAAACAAATTGGAGAAGAAGATGAACAGTGCACGAGGTAGTTAGATTTTTGCAAGTTAGAAAGAAAGCTTGCTCCCTGAATTTGAGTTGCCTCTGTTGGGTAGGGGAAAGCCTCAATTTATAGCTGCTGGAAATCACCATTCTTCAAGAAACCCTAATGGCTTCTACTTATTTTGGCTAAGCTTTTCCCTCATTTCTCCTCCTCTTCTCTGACTTCCCCTTCTTGGCAAAAATTGCCTCTGTTTATTTGCTCGAATTTAGGAAATTTGGGAGCTCAATGCCCCCCTTTCCCGCAGCTGCGTAGTGAGAGCTTCCCTTCTTGGTTACTGTTTTTTCTTCTTTCCTTCCCCTTGCCTTGGCTGAATCTGATGAAGGAAAGGAAGTGAAAATATATGCTAGTCCAAGGGGTGCTTTTGACAGGGTGCAGGCCAGCATTCCTTGGTTCTTTGGGCGTCTCTGGCTTGGAACTTGCTCCCAGCAGCTTTGCTTGATGAGTCTGCCAACCTCCGCCCTCACGTGTTCTCTGTTTTTCAAAAGAGCTGAAGCTTTTGTGGGCTATTTTGGGTTTTTCTAAGGGCCAAGATGGCTTCCTAAGCAAATAGGCTTTTTGTGAAACATTGGGCCTCTTGATTTGGGCTTATTATTATTTTTGGTTGGGTTATCTCTTGGTTAGGTTATTTTGCTTGGGCTTTTGGGCTACTTTTCTCTCTTGTGCTTACCCACATGTTTGGGTCTAAGAAATAGGCTTGAGTCTTGAGGCTCCCAAGCAACCTGAGACTTTCCATTTCTCGGCCCATCTATGGGTCTCATGTTGATTTATCACCATCCATACCACAACCCACTCAAGCAAGCCCCGGTTTTTTGAGTGGCTTGGGCCCACTTAGGCTTGTAGCGTGATTGAGTGTGCGATAATGATTTCGTGCTTGGCATGGCACATTGCTTGGCATGTTTTAATTTATCATCTTGCGATGCTTATTTTTGCATGGGCCTGTAAACACGGTATATTTTATCTCAACCCCGAGCGAATTTATTTATTTAGCATGGCACGTGCATTGTAATTCGCATGTGGTAGGTTTCGGTGCACTCTGCTTTACGCTTTTTCCTAATGGATCGTCGTTTTGGGCTGATAATTTATTCGAGCCCAACCATGTATTTTTTGGGTCTCAACAACAACAAGAACATATTCACAGTCCGCTGGCCATGGCTTCCTTGTTCAGTATCAAACCAATCACCTGAGCAAGAATCACCATCACCACTCTCTCTCTCTCTCTCTCTCTATCTCTCTCTCTCTCTCTCTCAAAGTAGGGCAGGAACATAAGAGTCGCAGCCATAAAGGTGGAAGCATGAAACTGAAGCCAAGCATGGTATATTTTCTAGCATTAAATTAGTCAAGAATTGATTTCACGCCCAAGAAAATTGAGTGACATCTGATAGAAGAGCATATCTTATCTGGTGTTATGCAGAAATAATGCAAATGTCTTAATTTTTCATGTTCAATGTCAACGGTTAGATGTTTAAAACAGAAACTATACATGAATGATATTATACTTCCATTCAAGAGTGACACATTTCTCCCTCTCTACTCCCCCTCCCTCTCATGGGGTTGCTTTCTTGCTTGCTTGCTCTATGCCCTATATATGAAAGGTAAAGGCCAATGGCCCAACGTTTTTATTTTAGTTCGGATATGATCCTAACTGGTTTAACAATAGTACTACACCTATTAACCTTTTTTTTAGAAACTTTTTTATTGAAAGGAGTGATAGCATATTAAACTCACACACTACACGGATGCTAGGACTTGAACTCAGAACATTTCCTGAGGAAAGCAATTGCTTCCAAACCACCACTTAGAGCATGTCCAAGGGTGATGTGAAATGCAAAATGTTAAATTTAAATTTGATGGCTTATGTGGCAACTTGACATTTTAAAAAAAATTTAACTCCACAAGAAATACCAAAAATCATATTATTTTATTTTATTTTTAAAAGCAAATGGGGCCCATATGATGCATCAAGTCTTAAAAAACAGTAAATGATAGTGGGGTCCATGACTAAAAAAATATTAAAATAACATTTGACATCAAACTTTTTGATATGTTATTTTTGACATCTCTCTTTAAACCTTCAAATCCATGTAGGATTTGACTACTTAATTGTGATAACAGTAGAGAAGATTGAAGAATAAAGAAGAGAAAGAACTCATAATTTTGTATTGATCTTGATTAAGTAATGATTACAATGTAAAGCTCAACTTATATACTTGATAACAGACTTAGAGACTTAAGTAAACTCAGCTTAACAAACTAACAGATTCTACTAACAATTCTAACTAGAACACATGACCTCCATGTGCTATTCAAACAATCTTAAGCTGACCTGGACAATACAGTTATCAGGTTGGAGCAACTTTAATCTTCAATTTTTATTATTTCATGTTCATGTGGCAATTTGACATATCTGTTGGAAATGCTCTTATAGTCTTTTGCAAATCTATTAACTTTTAGTTATCAATTGATATAGTTTTGCAAATCTATTAACTTTTAGTTATCAATTGATATAGTAATTTCTTAATTACTGAGAAAGAATAAATAAAATCTGGAATGATCCTTTGCATGAAACAAACTGCAACATCACTGGTGTCGCTAGTATTATTTGTATAATGTATGTAATATGGATCCTCAAAAGATTTTTTATAAAAAGAATCTATAAAGTTGTCTTTCTGGATATCAAGACTTTGAAAGATGACCACACTGGTTGTCATACAACATTTTAAGCCGAGAATAAATTTAGCAAAGAGGCCCTATGTACAAATCTTAGAAAGAAAGGAAAAATGAAATATGCCAAACCATAATTAAAGTGGAACCTTATTCTTGTACCACAATTTCACCTCACTCCAATAGAAGTTGGACTTTATTCCAATTTTTTTGTTACTACTAGAATGTTTACTTATCCACGTTACACATATTGTGATCGATTCTACTTACTTCGTTATCTCTTATATCTTAAAAAAATAGAATTTTTTGTGGTTTGACAACATATCATCTCAACTATTTAATAAGAAAAACTGTTTCCAAAAGTCATCAAGATTTCTTTGAAGTCAGTCATCAAGAGCTTGACAAGTGATGGCGTGCAAGACTTTTCTCCTCAGTGCCTTGTTTACAATGTTTAGGCAAAAGAGGTTCTGCTTCTGATTGAGGAAATGACTCAAAGCTTCCGGTTTGATCATTTTGAGCCTTCTCCTTCTCTTCTTGGGCTTTCCCCCAAATTACGGCATAAAACCCTACCACTGTTATAGCCGCTCCCAGCAACCTTTAAAAAAAACGCAATAAAACATGGTCTTTTATTTTCTGGGTCGGTGAATAAAACATGGTTAATTAGGTAAGCAGGTAGCAGAGTATGTGAGAATTATAACAGATAATCTTTACCTTCCAAGATAAAGAGTATCTCCAAGAAATAACACGCCAACGAAAAGTGCCATGACTAAACCAAGCGGCTTAAACATGGCAACATAAACAGGACCCTTTATGTTCAATGCCCACAAATGAATACCAGTCCTTAGCATTACTTCGAAAGTTGCCTAGAAATCAATTAAGCAGCACCATAAAGTTTGGTCGAAAATCAAGGGAAACTAAGCCTATAAAGTTGAAACAGATCAACCCTCACATTGTACCCAATAGCTATGAGTTCAATGTCAGGCTTTAGCTTCCATGCATTTAGTCCTTTGACAGTAATCAGAGAAATTGCAGCAGATTGGATGGTAACAAAGATGCACCGAATCGTTGCAACCATCAGCACTGCAGGGTAGTCCCTAATAACCCATGTCTGCAGATAAAAAATCAAAAAAGCTTTGAAATGATGCAATTAAGAGGTGGTTTTGATGTGAGCACAGGATTTTAAATTACCTCTGTAATATGCATCATTGCTAGCAAAAAGCTTTGAAATGCGAGCACAATGCCTCCAATGAACCAGTTCGTTTGAGAGGATAAAAGAAGCTGCAGACTGATTAATTTATTATGTGATGCATCAGCCCTTATGAGTGGTAGGCCTTTATATAAGGTCAGCATGAGTGCCCCTGAGATTGAGACCACTGTGCCTATGCACTTGGCCTGTCTACTGGTAATTCTCAAATCCAGAATTTCCATCCTAAAAAGCCAAAACATATTTTTTATTATAAAAAAGAAAAAAGAAAATATATTCATCAATTTGGGACAGCAACTGTATATTTACCCAGTGATGACAGCAAGAATGAAGGTAAAAGCTGGCATGAGATCAATCATTGCAGAGGCCATAGTTGGAGAGCTGTAGTTTATCCCAATAAACCTTAGCAGCTGCGCACTAGAGCTAGAAATCATGTTCAAACAAATTTAAACACGATTAACCAAAATATATAGTAAAATAGATCAGCAGAGATGATTAAGTTTAAGCTACCTCATAAAGCTAACAAGGAACAGTTTACAGATGAAGGACCATGAGAGAGGTGGATAAGTTCTTCTCCTGCAGAAATAAATAATTAACTACTTCATTAAAACTAAAAATTAAAAGAAGGGTTATTGGGTAATTAATTGGATGAGATTAAAACCTGTAGAAGAAGAAGGAAGATGGAAGCAAGACAAAGAGGGCGAGGGCATTCGCATAGACAACAAAGACAAAATCACTCATCCCTTTCTTCATAGCTGCTTTGCTCAAAATGTTCAACCCCACATCCAAAAACTCCACCATCACCATGATCACTGTTACTGATTTTAAACCCAACATTGCTGCTTGCTTCTGTGCCCTGCTTCCTCTGTATGCATGCTTGCTTCTCGTTCCCACTTGCTCAATAGATCAATAATTCAATCATAGCATACGATCATATTTTACTTTTGTGGGTCGATTGAATTAGGTTGTTGAGTATACAAGAAATGATGACATTAACTGTTTACCAATTATATCGGTTGAGTATGGACCACCTATATATAATTGGTAAACAACAAAGGTGTGATTAAATGCTCGACCAATCGCACTCGAACAATGGCTTGGATTGGAGTTTGAGATGTGATGTTCTGTTTGTGCGGTCACAGATTAAAGTTCGAAGGATGTTACCTCATGATCATCATAGTGTTCATTTTTTTGCTATTCAAATATAAAAACAGAGAAAATTATGAGAGACGTGACGATATATTTCTTTCTGTTGTTTTGTGGCTCAGAGAAAGATAGTAGCTGTGTTTGTTGGACCATCTTCTCTTATTCTTGGGCTTTGCCCATGAAAGCATTCGCAACAAGAGGCCTTAGTTTAAATTTAACTGAAACCATGTTTATTTCCTTGCCGGAAAGTTTTTCCCTTTATCTAGAGTGGCCCATGAACTTGTTTAATATTTTCCTGCTACCATGAAGGCGGCTGCTAGTCTGTAAATCCAAGCCTTTAGCGATCAGATTCTCAGTATTCCAAGCCTTTTTAGTTTCCCAACTTTTGGGTCTTTCCCCTGCAGTAGGAAGGGCTGATTGGAAGGCCACAGAGATGCAACAATCAACCCTCAAGGGCAGCTCTCTGCGTCAGTATGGTCCAACTTGGTAAGTGTAAAAATAAAATTCCTAATTTTTTTCAAATTTTATAAGCAAGGAGTATAAAATTTGATTAGTAATCATTCTTTTTGTGTTTCTAATGCCAAATTAAGAGCATTACTGTTCTAGTTTGCGGCGGGGTTGATCATACAGTCCAAAAGCAAACAGGGTCTGACCCAATGAAAAATGGTCTTGATTTGATGATCAGTGGTCTTAGATTCGCATCTCTATGGAACTTTGTCAATATGTGTGTAAGAAAAATCCTCTCCCGCTTTCTAACTTTGGCCAAAAAATTAAAAAACAAAAACCAACAACAACAGAAGCAGCATGCGAGCACCTTTATGTGTTGAAATTTGAACCTATTTACCACATAGGATGAATGTGAGTCTGGTTGAACTTATGCATGTCAGTTGTATGCTTAGGCAGTGGACCAATAGAACATAGTTCTTCCATCTGGTGGTCCTATAGTTTGGTTTGAATGACAAATCGACAATGACCACTTTGGGGGCTCTTCTCTGCAGCTTAGCTCCGGTGGTCTCTCTGATGGGTTACTATCATCAACATACTCACTGCTTCTCCAGCTGTTTTTTTAAGGTCACAATCTTAATGAATGTGATCTCGGCCCTCGTATTGGAACATGCCAGGCGTATGTATGTATGTGTGCATGCATGTATGCATGTATGTATGTATGTATGCATGTGTCTCTCCATATTGCATTTCTATACTGAAGTGGGGGTTGCTGCAGGCATTTGGCAATGATGATATGGTGATGTCAATGCTTACTTGAAATAATTGGAGGGAGGGAGGGAGCAATTATTTTGGAGAGGAAAAGCCACATGAATCATGCCTCAATTTGACTCTACTGCATAAAATTCCACACACTCTAAAGTTCATATTGTACTGTGCCCATCAGTAAAGTAGGCCGGAAAATCTCCCCTTAGAGCAAATTAGGTTCTGGAGCTTTTGATATTAGTCTAATACAAGATTGCCAAAAAGCAGTAATTTTTGGACATTGTCCCTGTCTGCCTAGAACTTGGAAAAGAAAATAGACACGATAAAATGAGAAAAGGACATTTGAGTCGGTGTTCAAATATAGGCAAACTTGGTAAGGACGTGCATCTATTTGAATCAATTAACTTCTGCCTTTGGTTAAGAAAAAAACTTCAGGAAAATGCACAATAAGAAGATAAATTAACCCTTTTAATTCTTGATCATCCTCAAATATTCTAGGATCAATAAGTCTCTGAAAAAAATTTGGTTCTGATATTTGCAAGCACAAGCAGAGGCACGGAGAAGGACAAGTCAGTGCAAGCCATTGGCTGCTAGTACCAATTACCTCCCCCCTTGTTTCATTCACTGACAGACGCAAATAAAGGAAGAAAAAAAAAGCTTCAAAGAGAGAGAGAGAGAGAGCAAACGTACAACATGAGGGGCCCTTTGAGGGCTTTGATAGTGGCATATCACTGGATCTCCATTCCTCCATAATTAAATGTTGTTTTCTCACGAAACCAGTACAAAAGCTTTAACCATTATTCAAAAACAATCAAAGTATTGGTACATGATGAAAGTGGTGTCATGGTACTTCCTTCAATCCAAAAGAAAATATGAACATTTACTTTGAAGTGAAGTAAAATGAGAAGCGTATTTTCAGATTCATACACGCAAACTATCAATTATTTATAAACGCATACACAAACTCCCAGAAACCTACATTTTAAACCACTCCTTCAGCCGTAAACCCTATATCATCAAAGTCTCAGAAGATTGGGAATTGACTGTAACCTACCCAGGCATATAGTCCAAAGAAACGGGGCCATAAGGTGGACAATCTAGAATGGGGATTGTTGAGACTTGGGAGGATGTGGGATCATATTTTAGTTGCTTTGGTCCATGCCCCACACAGTACAAACTTAGCGGCCTAACTGGATAAGAGCATCTGCAAGGCAGGCACCTACCACAAACAAACTCAACATGCAACCATTTTTTTAAAACATGTATCATGTTTTCTTTTTTTTTCTCTTTCTTGAGTTACATGCATCATGTTTCTTTGTTCATTTGGTAAACTTGTTTGCAAATGATGCAGGTAAACATGTCTCGTGTTTATGTTTATTCTGTAAAGATTGACAATAAAAAAAAGTGGTCAATAGTACTTTGATAGGAAAAACAAGAATTTAGTCCAATTTGAACACCTAAAGAAAAATCCATGCTTCTGTTGTTACTGCATAATGTAGGCCAAAAAAATTATATCTTTATGTTCTGCTTCTTTTTCAAAGTAGAGAACAAGGAGCATCTCACTTCACTATGGCCATGTTTTTATGTGTGTCATGCCAACTGTAAAGAGAGCTTCAATAAGTCAAAAATACTATAGCAATATTAATCAAGATGCATGGTAGCTGTAGCAGAGCAGCCTTTATTTTTATTTTTTTACATGTAATCACTTGGTATATAAAATCTCAACCTGTCTTTGATTTGTTAGATGAATTAATTACCATGAGAATGCATTGGAAGGTTAATTGTGTTTGATTTGATCAGTCTCCATGTGGGCACAAATGAGGGAGAAAAAGAGAGGGTTTTGGTGATTGAGAAGAAAAGGGATGAGGAGGCAGCTTCTGTGTGATTTGATCAATCTCTCCATGTATGTCCCACATATCTTAGTCATGGTGTCCTCAACTGCAGAGCTTTAGATGCCAATTCTATCTCTCCATGATTGTTAGTCCCTTTCATCCTTCTGTTAGCCAAAGAAGCTAGCATCATCCCTTCAAACCCCACTCAATTGAGTGCAATCATGGCGATCCATGCATGTATCTCACTTAACCTTTGTTAACACTTTGTCCATATATGTATAACAACATAACTAATTTATCATTAATTGATCATATCCAATGATTAGCATAATCTAATTGTCCCCCTAATTCCTTCTCCTAAAAGTACACAAGATTCTGTACATGCATGTTTCCATCAACCAAAGCCTATATTTATAATGTCAACTTAAGCGGGTAATATTGACAAAAGTTGCCAATTAATCAATTAATTAATGCATATGAGATTACATGTTTTGCAAAGTGAATAATGAAATTAATCAATTAGGCCCCTCAAGGACGAGAGAAACTCTCATATAATAAGGATAATACTTTTCGCTATTTCGGACCAATAACACACTGACAAGTGAGATAACTTTTCAATGTGTCATTATATGTTATTGGCTGGATATAACAAAACGGTGCTATTCCCGTTAGAAGATTTTTTTTTTCCTTAAAGACATCACGATGTCACATTGCTTACAGCTTATAAATGGACCAGTATAAATATATATATATATATATAATATTATATTATATTAGTTGTGTCTTGGTTGTCCAATGGCACTTTGATTTTGATGCTGATGCATGCTGATAGTGAAAGGGATGGTGATGATTATGAACGAGCGTTGGAGAAAAAATCTTTACAAGTCCCCTCAAAGATTGAATTATATATTATGTGTAGAACATCTGTATCTCACAATAACGGTAGGTGGATCCTCATATGGATCGTCCACTAGATTGACCAAGCTTCAGACTTCAAAGAGAGTGATGAAAAATCATTTTCCATTCTTTCAAGTACAAAAGCAAACATTGGGTATCTTTCTCTGACTTTCACAGCAGCACCAATGATCATGTTTGCATGTTTTCATTTTCCTATTTTTTTCCCCCCTCAAAGAACTAATTATATTCAACCCTTTGTGAAGACATACAAGAACGAGAACTTGTACCATTATATTTCTTTTTTTTCCACCAGAAATTTTACCTTCTTATCAGAGCAGAGGCACATGCCTAATGCAATATCTGATGTATATTCTACTGTCTCTACACCTTTGATTATTTGGTCCCTTCCCTTGTGATGGACGGTCCAGAATGAAAGAGCATCTTCCATCTTTTGATTGCAGGTTTGAGCTTACGACCACTTTTTGATACCATATATGGGATGGGTTTTTGCAACACTGATGACATGTAAAAGTTGGGTGTGGTGTGTGTGTGGGAGCCAAGAATATTTTGTCTTTGAAAGACAGGCTCAATTTTACAGCAATGAAAAGGTTACAAAAGCTACCCAGAAAAGGGATATCTTTCTTTAATCTCTTCCCTTTTCCTTTTCGTTATGGACTTGTACACACAGCTTTTTTTTTAGCCCAAAATTGTCACTGGCAATGCCTTCACGTGATTGCCTTGGAGTTTTCTAAG